GCGTGACAAAAAGTCAGACCCCCCCTCAAATATGACGTCACAAAGCTCTGCCCCCCCCCCCCCCCCCCCCCACAAAAAACATGCTTCAAAATCGCTTTAAACTATTGTCATTGTAGTGCGTATTTAATATATCGCTACAACTCTGATGTTGTAGGAAAAACATTGATTAAAAAGAGTCTATTTAATTAAGTAGAACGTGTTGTCTATATTCATTAAAGTTGCGCATTTTGATGTGACGTCACGATTCTCAAACCCCCCCCCCCTCTCGTCACACATCGTCACAAATGTCTGACCCCCCCCCCCTAGGTGAGTGACGTCATTTATGGACGGCCCCTTACTCAAATGGGATCAAAGACAAAGAACCCCCGTGTAGCCTTAACAGACTGTAGGGGCAAGTGCTGTTAGCGAGCACCTATAAAGACTGGCACGGCACACGAGGGGGGTGGGTGGGTGGCCAGCACGACGCCCGACCGCCTTTGTCTCCCCAGTGGCGATGTTTACCTACCCACCGCACCAGGGACTCATTTGAGACTGAGTCGACCTAGGAGAGCCCCAGAGACCGGTTCAGATAATTCTTCTGTCACTGGCGCTGGCCGTGAGCGGGAATGGAACTTGTGTCACCGGGTTCGTAGCGCAGTGCGCTAACCGCTGCCCCACCACTCCCCATATTGGGATCACACAACAAGCAGCAGCAGCAGCAGTGGCATTGCCAGCTCAGTGCGAATAACTAAACCTTGTCAGGTCCCATGTTGAAGAATCCGAGCTAAACAAAGCATAATCATAAAGTCATCTTCTTCTTCTCATTCCACGCGTTTGTCCCACTCACGTTGGGTCTGCCGTCATAGCCAACCTTCTCCACGCTGACCTGCGCCACCTCTCTCTCTCTCCACTCCTGGGGCCACCAAGATCCGATCGCGAACCATCGCCCCCCCCCCCCCACCACCACCTCTCCTTCTGCCTCCTTCCTCTTGAGCTCATTCCTTCCACTCGCAGCTACGGACCCCGTGATTCTCCTATCGTCTCTGCACATCACTGAACTGCACCACAGCATTCTCTCGCTCTCTTTCTATTTCAAACCCCATTGTTTCGGCTTCCACGCCGGGAGACGGAATCCAACCGACATCCTCCGAGTTGTCAAGTCCAGAGCGCTCACCATTTCACCACCTTCGCGGCTGCCTTCGTATTCTAAGTTAAAATCGGCGAACACGTTGTTACGCACTTGCCAGACATTTCTGTACGCGTGGAAAAACCGGATTTGTTTTGATAGGTTCATTCACCTGGTTACCAGTAAGGCATAAAGCAATACCATTATAACTCGACCATTGGTGGGAGTGAGCTCGTTAAGATGTGGTCACGGTCAGGGTCAGGCAATGCCTAATGTGGGGGTCAGATAATAGCTAAGAACATTCGCGGGTGAAGAGGCATCGCAGCGACCCCGAATAAACAGGGACACATCACGGATCCTCAGGGTTGGGTTACTCGATGGCTGAGAGACTCACGACGGAGTTTGCAGCCGAAGCATGGAATACGTCAGTATAAGGTCACGCACTCATCACGCACGGAGCGCCTGCCACAAAAGAACCACCTTTGCTGATCTCGTCCAGGGACTATAAACCACACGAACTCCGGCCACGCTCGCAGTAGCAGCGGATTTTGGCCGGCCGTCGAACAAAGGCGGCGGTCACCGCTTCGAGCGACGCTTTCAGACGCCGCTTTCAGACGCAGCCGTCTGGAACGTTCTTACATCCGATATGAGGAAGCCACTGGAGCTAGGCACTTTTAGACCATCTCGATTGAAAACTAATTTCTTTAAAATAAATTTCGATTTAAAGCTTTCGTGACTGCAGGGATTCATCTTCTTGGTTCTTTTGGTAAAGTCACGTAGAAGGAAAATAATAAATAATAAAAAATAAAACATTTAATAATTCTCACGACGTTTCGGCCACAACGCAAGCAGCCGTCTTCAGGTGGAGAACAGGTCTGAAGACGGCTGCTTGCGTTGTGGCCGAAACGTCGTGAGAATTATTTTATTATGTTTTATTTTTATTATTTTATTATTTTTATTTAAAATAGTTTTGCTCGCGTTCAGATTCGTGTCCTTCCCCCGCACCTCCGATTAGCGCGGTCTGCTACGTACGGTGCGAAAGAAGTCAAACGTACTGTAACATCCATGCATGGAAACACGAGCCAATGAGATGGAGCCCGATGGGGTTTGTGGCGTAGCGAGAGCGTGGAAGCTGGCGACAAGCCTGGGTGAGAGTGGGGCCTTCATCCCGCAGTGGATAGACCGTGGTGGTGGTGGTGGCGGTGATGATGGGGTAACTTTACGTCGGTGTAGAGAAGCCTCGGGTCAAGGGGTCAGGTCAAGGGGTCGGGTGAGGTGGGTTCAGCCAGAAGAAAGTTCGAAAGCTGGAGGGCGACGTGAGGGGCGGTTGAACGGACCTCAGGGCCCGGACCGGGGGGTGTGGGGTCGGGGTCAAGTGGGGTCGGGGTCAAGTGAGGTCAGATTTTAAAAACAAAAACCCGGGCTTGGTTCAGGTCAAGTTGGATCAGACCGGGTTCACCGGGGGTTCAAGCAACCTGTTTGTTTACCTCTGCGGCCCTCCCGTAGTGTGTGTGCGTGTGTGTGGTTTTGTTAGAGGTTGCGCGGCACGGCGTGGTTGTATTTGGCACGACGTCCGACGTTTCGCTCCACGTGCCGTTGCAGCTCCTTCAACAAGTGCCGTTGTTGTTGATGGAGCGCCCAACACGCGACACAGCCCGAAACACACGTGGGGAGGCTGTGGTGGTGGTGGTGGTGGGGGAGGCTGTGGTGGTGGTGGTGGTGGAGGCTGTGGTGGTGGTGTGGGGAGCTAGGGTGGGTGGAGAGGCTGTGGTGGTGGTGGTGTAGGAGGCTATGGTGGTGGTGGTGGAGGCTGGGGAGGCTATGGTGGTGTGGTGGAGGCTGTGGTGGTGGTGGTGGTGGGGGAGGCTGTGGTGGTGGTGGTGGTGGGGGAGCTGTGGTGGTGGTGGTGGTGGAGGCTGTGGTGGTGGTGGTGGTGGGGGAGGCTATGGTGGTGGTGGTAGAGGCTGTGGTGGTGGTGGTGGTGGAGGCTATGGTGGTGGTGGTGGAGGCTGTGGTGGTGGTGGTGGTGTGGGGGGCTATGGTGGTGGTGGTGGAGGCTGTGGTGGTGGTGGTGGAGACTGTGGTGGTGGTGGTGGAGGCTGTGGTGGTGGTGGAGGCTGTGGTGGTGGCTATGGTGGTGGTGGTGGCTATGGTGGTGGTGGTGGAGGCTGTGGTGGTGGTGGTGGCTATGGTGGTGGTGGTGGTGGCTATGGTGGTGGGGAGGCTGTGGTGTGGTGGCTATGGTGGTGGTGGTGGTGGAGGCTATGGTGGTGGTGGTGGAGGCTGTGGTGGTGGAGGCTGTGGTGGTGGTGGAGGCTGTGGTGGTGGTGGCTATGGTGGTGGAGGCTGTGGTGGTGGTGGTGGAGGCTATGGTGGTGGAGGCTGTGGTGGTGGTGGTGGAGGCTGTGGTGGTGGAGGCTGTGGTGGTGGTGGTGGAGGCTATGGTGGTGGTGGTGGGGGAGGCTGTGGTGGTGGTGGTGGAGGCTGTGGTGGTGTGGTGGAGGCTATGGTGGTGGTGGTGGTGGAGGCTATGGTGGTGGTGGGGGAGGCTATGGTGGTGGTGGAGGCTATGGTGGTGGTGGTGGAGGCTGTGGTGGTGGTGGTGGTGGTGGAGGCTATGGTGGTGGTGGTGGAGGCTATGGTGGTGGTGGTGGTGGAGGCTATGGTGGTGGTGGTGGGGGAGGCTATGGTGGTGGTGGTGGAGGCTATGGTGGTGGAGGCTATGGTGGTGGTGGTGGAGGCTGTGGTGGTGGAGGCTATGGTGGTGGTGGTAGAGGCTGTGGTGGTGGTGGTGGGGGAGGCTATGGTGGTGGTGGTGGAGGCTGTGGTGGTGGTGGTGGGGGAGGCTATGGTGGTGGTGGAGGCTGTGTGGTGGTGGAGGCTATGGTGGTGGTGGTGGAGGCTATGGTGGTGGTGGTGGAGGCTATGGTGGTGGTGGTGGAGGCTGTGGTGGTGGAGGCTATGGTGGTGGTGGTGGCTATGGTGGTGGGGGAGGCTATGGTGGTGGCTATGGTGGTGGTGGGGGAGGCTATGGTGGTGGTGGAGGCTATGGTGGTGGCTATGGTGGTGGTGGTGGAGGCTGTGGTGGTGGTGGTGGTGGGCTGTGGTGGTGGTGGGTTCGTCCAGGCGAACTACGCCGCGCTACGAACCCGGCCACCCGAGTTCGATTCCCGCTCACGGCCACCAAACACCGTGACGATTATCTGAACCGGTCCTGGGCCTCCCCTAGGTCGACTCAGCCTCAAATGAGTACCTGATGCGGTGTGTAAAACATCGCCACTGGGGAGACAAAGGCGGTCGGGCGTGGTGCTGGCCACCCACCGCCTCGCGTGCCACGGCACCGGCCTTCATAGGTGCTGCTCGCTAACGGCACTTGCCCCAACAGTATGTTGAGGCTACACGGGGGATCTTTGTCTCTGGTGGATCCGTCCAGTCGGGGCGCGCGAGGAGGGCGAAGATTTTGATTGGAGACCGCACCCGGTGAGGGTGAGTTGGGTGAGCAGGCGTGCGGTGGTGGTGAGTGGTGAGCAGGCGTGCGGTGTGTGGTGAGTGAGGTGAGGCGGTGTGTGGTGAGCAGGCGTGCGGTGAGGCGGTGTGTGGTGAGCAGGCGTGCGGTGAGGCGGTGTGTGGCAGGCGTGCGTGTGTGGTGAGTGAGGTGTGTGGTGAGTGAGTGTGTGGTGAGTGAGGTGTGTGAGGCGGTGCGGGGTGAGGCTGAGTGGGGTGAGTTGGGTGAGCAGGCGTGCGGTGAGGCGTGTGTGGTGAGTGAGGTGTGCGGTGAGGCGGTGTGGGGTGAGGCTGAGTGGTGAGGCGGTGTGGGGTGAGGTGGAGTGTGGTGAGGTGGTGGAGGGTGAATGAGGTGGAGTGTGGTGAGGTGGTGGAGGAGGAGGCGCCTCACCTTCCTGTACACGATGGTGTTGGGGGTCTCGTCGGCTGAGCTGGCGCCGCGTTTCCCTTGGGCCATGGCTCGTCACCACCACCCTCACCACCGTCACCACCACCACCACCCTCACCACCGTCACCACCACCACCACCCTCACCACCGTCACCACCACCACCACGCGCAGGTCGCGGCCGCTCCGTGCTCGGCTCCGTCACTCTCCTTCTCAGCCACGTCCCAGGCGGGGATCCTTGACGCCAATTCGGACCACCCGATCTCCCCCCCCCCCCACTCACCCCCCGATTCCAGCTAGGATCCCAACTTCAGAATGGGACGATGTCGTTAATTAAGAGGCGTGGGGACACGGAGATGCTGATGCTGACTGTGGTGGTGGTGGTGGTGACGATGGTGGTGACGGTGGGGTACTGACGATGGT